CGCACGTCGTCTGTCACGTATTAAGTTTTTTATGTCATCGGGGAGGGTGCCCCGGGGGTTTGTCAGTCGGGGGACAATAGTCTCCGTCGTAGTCTGAGTCAGGGCGTTTTTAATGTCAGTCTCAAGGGAGAGGATTGCCGCCTCCAGATCATGGGTGGTTTCGATGACTGGGAGCGCCATGTTTCCTTGCATTACTGTTCGGAAACGCTCCCAGTCAGTGAACCTCCTCGTGAAGGTGCCTTCATATCTCTGTCTTCGCCCCAGATCCAGAAATATTGGATTGTGGGCGGAAGACCCTTCGTATTGGGTGGATATTTGGGCATTTAACGGTATAGATTTTAAGAGGGCAATGTCGATAACGTCGGGGCGTCCTACGGGTCCGTAATGTGTCGGTTCTGTCGGTCCGAGTATAGTCAAGTCGTCGTGTCTGTCTTGGTAATTCAGCAGGACGCGACCTCTTGTGGTCGTCGTCCCGCTGTGCCATATGGGGGACTTCGCGTTGAAGTCCCCGATGGCAATTGTCTGGGGCCAGGAAAGGATTTTGTCTAAGTCATTGTCAAGTAGTGGTAGTCTGGGTGGGTGGTAACAGGACACCACCGCAACGTCTCCATGCCGTAGCGATCTCACCGCTATCGCCACGGCCTCTGTGTTTTGAGTTTGGAGCCGCTGCAGCGGATAGTGGTCGATGCACTTCTTTACTATGAGTGCAACACCACCCCCGTTACGGTTTCTGTCATGTCTGTATATGTCATAGTCAGGGATGGAGGTACGGGATGCCTCGCTGAGGTAGGTCTCCTGGACAGCCATAACGTCTATGTTTAGACGGTTCAAGATGTCCACGAGTTCCGTTTTTTTGGCCCGGAACCCGTCAAGGTTCCAGGACGAAATTCTCAGCGAGGAGGGTTGGGAGGGCCGACGAGCCATTAGAAGTCGAATAATTTTTGCATACTCGACACCATGGTCGTCAGCTGGACGCAGAAGTCCTGAAGACGCTTTGTTGCGTCAATCAGGGCCGCCGCGCCCGGTTGGGAGGGTGTTGTGTCTGTGTGTGCGTGTGGTGAGGTGTTTTTGTTTTTGTGTTTTGTGTTTTTCTGGTCATGTCAGCGTATGTGCGTCCCGGGGTTGTGTTTGGGGTGGGTAGGAGAGGCTGTCTATGTCCCATATAAGGGGCACATTGGCCACTTTGGCATAGTTTTTTAAAATTTGAATAGTAGTTATGTTAGGTACCTTTATTTTTACCACTCTGGATATTACATAATATAAATAAATACATATACTGTCAGTTGTATACTTTAATTTCTTTAGATCTGTTGAAAGCAACCTTGTAAATTAGTTTGATCAAAAATGTGTCCACTGTGCCCCGGTCTCCCCTACATATAATTACTTCCTTACTAATAGTACACAAAATATTCTTATCTTAACCCACACAATAACAGGAAATATCAAATGAATAAGTAAACAAATTTTCCTTAAACTTAAGAGAGAATATGATAATTATACATAGGCGTAACATAAATAATTTTAAGAGGTACATTACAACTGTATATTTATTAATTATACGTATTTTTTTGCTTTTTCTAAACCATATATGAAGTATTTTGATGAAAAATGTTATATTTACTAACCAGATTGATGACGATGATAATGGTGAGGGATCATGATGGAATAATCTGGATGATGATGGATGATACTCGATAATGATGATCGCCGATAATGGTGGTCGATGTTGATTATCAATACGTCTGATTTTTAATTTAGTCAATTCAAATCGTGCGAGAAAATCAGCACCTATTATTAGGCGTTCAATATTCGTCACTATAAAAATAAATGGAAAATCTAGCCTGACCCAGATTGATTTTCAAAAATTGATTATCACACGTTGCAATATGATAACCGAGAGATAATTTTGTGTTTCTTAAAATTTGAAAAAGTGTCTCATAGTATATAATTGAAATATCGGCACTTGTATTAACTGTACCTGTACCAGGAATTTTTGATAGTTGTATATGGAGCAATCAGTGTTTATTCTTTTCGTGTGGTTCATTCTTTGATTTCAAAATAAGACGAAAATTTCCTTAATAAGTATGTAATAGAATGTGACAAAAGCTTATACCTGTTGATTTTAATTGTATGGTACATCTTCAAAATCTTTTTTAAAAAATGTTTACTGAAAGTTTTATTGTTTTCGATAGCGCCATCCAATCTACTGCTCTTTCTTAACTGAGGAACCTTTGAAAACCTGTGAAAACTAATGGCTAGTTTCTTTTTCCCTCTTTAGGTTACTTTTACAAGTGTCCACATTACAAATTGGGCCTCCAAAATTATAACTTGACATAGTTTTAGATAAAAGTCTGTGAGCACAATAGTACTTTTAAGGAATGTACTAACAATAAAAAACTAAAGAACAACAATTTGTATGATATACGATACAGGGAAACTCCAAAAATACAGATCAAAACTTAGTAAATTTATTAGCAATGACTGACGTTGACTTTGTTCCAGTTATTCCAATAACGTCATTCATCGGTTTTTTGGGCGGAATTAGTGCAAAGGGGATCGGTAGTTTGTAAGCAATCTACTCTTGTTAACGACCATAATTAAAGCCAACTTTCTATGCATTGTAGCTGTTTTAACATGAATTGCAAAAGTGGAAGTAATTTGCCCTATATCAAGTGACGTAGGATATACTACTACTACTCGAGCTTGCTCGTCTCAGCGCTTTGAGGACGCCGTGGAGACGAGACACGCGGTCGCATCATCGGCCCAATGATTTGTTCCCCCCTACAAAAAAGTGATCACCAATCGCGCTGATATAGCACACGAGCTATCAGGCCTTGGCTTCAAAACCATAGCATCATTTGATATGGTTATTGTGTAGTCAAGTGTAGTGTTAAGCTATATGATCACTGGTCAAGCAACCTATCTGTAGTGTCAAATTAGGCTGTTATCAGGTTGTCTGATTAGGATTCGGCTACCTAACAGGGACTTTATTCTTGAATTATAGGGAGTAGAAGGAACGAGAGAAAGGGGGCGTGTCTCTACTAAAACACATTAATCGGTATTCTTGAATGGTGTTCTATTGAGTAATGATAGAAGAATTGTTCACTATTTCTTCTACTGATATTTTCGGGGGAACAGGCAGGGATCATTAAACCTAACCATATATTTTTTGACATGTTTCACAAATTACGAATTCCGCAATCTGTCATATTAATATCTCTAGTTATTGTTTTGTGGTGATATCCTTCGAGAACTTTGAGGAAACGTTCGTAAAATTTGTGTTTACCTGAGGGATTGTACAGTAGTCGAATAAAATAATAATAGAATCTACCTAAAATAGTATTAAAATATTTGTAAGTTCTTCCCAGTTAGCCATCATTGTCTCTCTAGTGTAGCTGGGTGTTAACATTCCAGTCATTCCAGTGTACATTCGTTTTTTACCCTCAATATAATATATTAGAAGTTCTTTTTGTTTAGAACTTACTGGATTTAGCTTCGGTTTTTTATTGATTTCTATTTTCTTTCCTTTTTAGACTGCACCTGACACTGACAATCAAATAACAATAATAAGTAGCACACTTATTTCATGACTAGCTCATCACTAGTTTTCATTCTACCGCCTATTTACTGCTTTCTGATTGGTCGGTACATTTGACAACATTGTTCCTCGTTTTTCACTTTCATGGCTCGATCCCCTTGTGTCGAGAATACAGTATGAATTTTGTGAGAGAACAGTAGTAGAGCGAAATGAGGGAATGTTCCCCAGGGAGCATTCTATTCTCTCACCGTCAAGAATTGAGCTCCTGTAGTTTTACACCCATTAGCAAGAGAGATCAGCACTTTCAAAAAAAATGTTCTAATCAAAACTTACGTATTTTCTTACAAGGAATACGAATCCATAATAAAAAATACGGATTTCCATTAAAAAAACTGAAGCGTACTTCGATTTGACCTTGAAAATCAACCTGAAGGTAAAACTCAAGGTCACGGTTGTTTGACCCCCTGCTACATTTGTCTGAAATATTTTTTCTCGCGTCGTTTTCGAGATTTTTGGGTGGTTTGTTTAAAATGGGACACCCTGTATATCACGCTACATTGATTTGAAAAGGAACCCTATTTCTGATTAGGAAATTATTATTTTTTTAGTTTCTTTGTAGCAACACAGAAATTAAATGTTAAAAGGATGAAAATATATATTTTTGAAGACTATATTAAAATTTGTTAGATTTTATACTTTATAGAATATTTGTACTTACACAATTTGGAAATTGCTCAGAATTACCTTAATGAACAATTTCCACAACACTGGTTGGGTACATATGTACCCAATGTATTGTATAGCTAGCCCATTCTCCCTCGACATTTTCTTGGGGTTATATATAAGATAAAGTTTTTCAGATGGTACTAGAAATTGTGAAGAATCTTAAGTTAAAAATAGGAGAAGTTTGTGCGTTGGTGCCTCCTGAAACTATAAGGAATGTAATAAATACTGTACTGAGGATCTGACTATGAGTCAGAAATGGAGGTGGTCAATTTAAGCATTATTTCACTTAAATTATTATTACTTCTTGGTTAGTTATATATAACATTAGCTGTTTTTAAATTTTAAATAAAAATTGTTAATAATTTGGTACCATTTATTTCACTATTGAACTAATAATCATATTGAATCAATTAAGTTAATGTTTCGAGAATTAATAACACCTCACCTCAAATGTAAAAAGTGGATACTTTGATATCGCTATTGAGAATTTCAATTAATGCATAAATAGGTACCATTTTTAATTTTTGTAATTAATATTCTTATTAAAATATTTTCTTTGCTACTACTTGCAGAATTTGAGTTTTCCTTTTCCTCAAGTGATATACTTTTTTAATTTAATTTCAAAATTATAGTTTTACAAATCATAATGTTCTCAGAAGTGCAGCTTAGTATAAAGACAAGTTACGTTAAATCACCATATTTGTTGGTTCCCCTACATGCCCCTGCTCTGTGTCGGTTCTTATGTGAAACACCACTTTTATTTATGTATAAATCAGTAAAAAGTTTATTCTAATGGCATCGAAAACCGCTTCTTCTGATCCTTCTATAGCTTTCAAGATGGGGATCCAAGGCCTGCTATGATTTTCTTTATCCCCCAAATTTCAATATAAACACTTAGCGATTGTTTTATTTAAAATCTGATAAGGCGGTGTGAATCAGAACCACTAGGTGCGAAATTTGAACCAAAACTGTAGGTACAGGGCGTTTTCTTCTACATGTTGCATACCTAGATTTCTGCTATCGATGAACATTGTTTGACTCTATTTAACAAGATATTTTAGAAAAAAATTTTGAATCTGGTTGAATTGGCTACATACCTTTAAAATAGAGTAAAAATAATTTTTCTTGTTTTCTAAATACGTATGTACTTATGGTCAATCATCTTGAACCTATTAATTAAAAATTTTTGTTCTGGAACTTTTAAATAATTAATAAATATGGAAGTTCGACTTTGTTGTTACAAATTTCAAAAGGATCTGCTAACTTTTTATCTGTGGGTATAATTTTAATGAATAGGAAATTTTATTTGAAATCTGAAGAAAGAACTCAAAACCCGAAATACTTGGGTCAAAATAACATTGCTGACAATTCTAATTTCACATTCTACACATCATGCACGCATTTACCTAGGTGATTCCTTAATTTTTATACAAAGAGCATATACTTATTTTATGAAATTTTATTTTCTTTTTGATTTTCTTCAGAACTATCTTTTGTACTGTTGGCAGATTCTTCATCCTGACTTTCATTAATTTCATTCTCACTATTTTCCGAGGATGATTTATTATGCTTCTGTTTCCTAGCTTTTACCTTTTGTTTCTGTTTTTTTCTTAATCGTTTCTGTCTTTTTTTTGCAGTTCTTTCTTCAGCTTTTCTTTTATTTTCTTCTAACTTCTGATGATATTCATCTTCCAATTTCTCCTAGAATATTTTACATGAAGATTATTAACATTATTTCAACTACATATTATATTAACATTTTTTCCAACTGCTAACGTAGGAAAATAAAAATAACAAAAACATTATGAAGCATGCTTTAACTCAGCCACCAAACATGGTCAAATAGACATTGAAAAAAGACTTGCATTGAAAACTTATCATTTATCATACACTTAATAACTTACTTTTTCAGCTTTCTCCTTCATATACTTCTGTCTAGCATACTCTTTACGTCGCAAATGTCGATAAACATGAAATTCTCCTGAACCAGCTCCTGCACTGGATCCCATTACATTTCTAACAAAGTCTGGAACAACAGGTATTCCTTTTTCTTTCGGCTTTTCGGGAATTATAACTGGTTTGTCCTAAAATGTGTCTTTTTTAATAACATTGGTCATTTGTATTAGTCAATAAAATACTGGATTATTCATTAGTTTTTCCAATTTTAAACGTTGTAAATCTGTAGAATTGCGAACAATTATTGGTTTTCCTTCCATTGAATCATTTGTCTCATCGTCCATTTCCATTTTGTGAATTTTTAATAAATATACAAATATCACATTTCAAAAACTTGATTTATTTTTGAGTTGAACGAATAACTCCAATAACGCCTAGCAGAACAAAAAAGTGACAACCAATAATAAATAATAGACCCACAAATAAGAGAAAGGGCGCGTTCAGCAGACAGTACAGTCACAGAAGATAAATTGTTTTATCTTCTGCGGTACAGGTGGGCCAAGTTGGGCAACAATTTGGGGCTGCGTTCAGCGAATGGTTGACTAGTTCGGCCACCCAAGAACTGCAAGTCATTCCAGACGAGCAGTTCGCCTTCCGACCCAATCACTCCACTGAACTCCAAATCCTTCGCCTTACCGAGCACATCACGGC